TATATTTGAAAGGTTCTGAAGTACCCTCCGTACTCATTTAGCGCACATTTTATTGAATTATGCGTCAATAATCTCGCCAAACTGGAAATTATGTGCATGTAGATAAGTTGAAATTTACGACAAAAGTTACAACAGCATCACTGCCAACATTGGCGAGATACAACGCCTTAATTGCTACTGTTCGTGGCCACATCGTGCCGAAAGCATGTTAAACGTGAATTAATGACTACCACCGACTTCGTATTGCGAAAGTCGATCATTGTCAGGCAGGTGAACTCTGGAGTTTTCCTTTAAGCACAAGCATGGTGGTAGAAGTTGCCGTCAGTAGTTGGAACATCTGCAGTTAACCGGTAAACGCCATCGACGCCACACCTCGCATGAGGTGAGGTGATTGCCGAAATTGGCCCATCTCTGAGATAGTCAATTACAGTTGCCACAAACTGCGTCAGCGAACAAGCTATTGTTTCTCGCTATTGCTAGCATGTGCGCATGCACTATCCAGCCTACGTCAATTCGGTATGGCGAATCACCTTCAAGGCTGACTCACACAAAGCCTGTTCTGTAGACCCTGTGATGATTGTCACGCTCGCACACTTTAGACGCGGCCCCCTCGCGGGCGGTTGTGCACGCGTCCGACAGTGCACTTCCTCGTACCTAAACCATTCCTTTCACCTGATGCCTCACTTCTTTTCTTGCCACACGAAACAAGACCTGAAAATCACAGCGGTAAGGGCCTTCCCTATTAATTAAACCCTCTGCGATGCAGCCTTTTATATTTCAGGACAGTACTCTGGTCAAGCCGTTTGCGGAAGCCTTCGATTTTGCGCGGCCTATCACCGAGCAGGCATAACTGTGTGCGACAGACTGACCCTGTGGTCAGCATGACCAATTACATAAAATATTAATCGAAAGCCTGAAATGCGTTTTCTGTTATAATTTTAATCTGGATAATCGTGCGGCATAATTCCCCGATATATCTAATACCCCAAGATGCCAGCTTTTGACTGTACGTCATTCCGGCAAATTGTAAACACCGCACCCCATGGGAAGAATTATTCCATTATTATGCAGTTGCATATTAATTTTCGACACCACTTTATGCTCAATTATATGTTATTGAGAACATGCACAAAAGTGAAGAAGACAAAGGCGCCATCACTCGGAAAGCAGTTGTATTAATCGGAGCTTTTGGCTTCGCGCAAGGGCTGCTCGTCAGAAAAAATGAGAGAACAGAAAGCTTTGGCATATGCGCGGCTGCTAGCATGTACACACTTGTAGGCGGACCCCAATCCGCCCAGCCAATCCCATTTAATGCTGGCTCACACAAAGACCACTTTGTAGACGCTGTGCTGATTTCCACGCTCACATACTTCAGACGCTGGCTCCCTCGAGACCGGTCGCGCACACGTCCGACTCTCAACTTCCTCCTAATTATTCTCCATTCCTTCTGTACATAATACACTATTCGTTCTACCAAGAGCCTTGCTTCCTTTACTTTCACACGGAGCCTGGGCCTGGAGATCGTAGCGGCAAAGGTTTTCTCGATTAACTTAAGCCATTCGCAGGAGAATGGGCTAGAAAATATGCTCTTTTCTTCACATATCTGCATCAGGCCGACACTTAAAATACGCACCCACGCAAACAAACGGCGACAACCCCTCTCCTCATGCCCACCCACCCACATTAGCAAACAACCCGAGGGCTGTGGAGTCAATAAATCAGGGAAGACTGCTAAAGTTATGTTAAATTATTCTGCGGGAAAGAGCACTAACCTATGCGCCACATACAGTTGTTGCTCACCCTCTGCCCAGGCTAGTTTTGTTGTTTCCCACCTGGGTCCGGCGTCACCTGCAGCCAACTGGTGCACTTTTATTGACTTCGAGTTCCTGCAAAGCGAGAACTAAGAATTGCCTGACTCCAGCAGCGAACCGATCGGGAACGCGAGATTGACAAATGGAAAGCGTGGGCGGTTCCAACAGCAGATCGATCATGGTCGTAGGGAGGGGTTGTCACGCGGGAGTATGCAAGGCTTCGAAGGCGAAGAGAGTATTAATTAGCGGAAGTGGTACTGATTGCGGACTGTCACATAGTAGTCGGCCGAAACAAAGAACGGCACTAGTCGATGTTCGGTTCTGATCATGCACTATAAAACGACATTGTCGATCGTCTTTCCCACAACGCCTTTAAGCATGACATTGGTACCGAGTTTGTGCATTTTTTCCGACGCATCGCGAACGTTATCACTTGTTGAGAAGAATGTTAGCTAAACTGAGAAAAATGCAGCAGCCATCATCTTTTCCGTCTTGACAAACCATAAAATGTTGCTGTTAAGTTTCGGTTTGAAGAAAGGCTCTATTCAGTCAGCCTACTTCAACGATGGACCGCCATTCTTCTCGATTATTAATTCAATATCCGTAACTGCCACACTACAGATATAGGTCAGACTGAAGCCCCTTCCTGTCTCATCTGCAATCATCAGAAAATAGAGGAAGACGCCATGCTTAATGCTATTCCGGTTGAAAACCAAATGCGCCGTCAGCTTCCGGACACTATACGAGGTAGACCTGTCACTGCCGCCAACGTCCGTCTTGCTGAGCAATCGCCTACGTACAAAGTAGTTGAACAACTACTGCTCTCACTTGCCATCTTCACCAGCTCTTTCTTTGTCGAACATCGCTATTTGTCTTAGATAACTATATCATACATGAGGACCTGTTGTGATTCCTACTTAACTTTGAGCTGCTTTACCACGCCGGTTTCATGTTTCTCATTCAGGTTTCAGACAAATGAAGTCCTCTGCTGGCAGTTTGCCTAATGATCACGTACTGAAGAAGATATCAACGACATCGTTTAGTGCTATTCTAGGTCTCAAGAAGCTACTAAGATTGCAGCTCATCAACCACCACCATCATGGCGAAAACAGGATATGTCCCGATCACGTGTGGATATCGATTTCGCTGGACCACTCGGTGGGGTCTCCTGCTCAATCGTAGTCATCATCTATTCAAAGTGGCCCGAGGTTTCATCGCTGAACACGGCAACCACATTGGCCACTATTAATTTCCTACAGAACATCTTCGGCCGGCATAGGTTGCCGGATGTTCTGGTAACGGATAAAGACTCCAAGTTTACCTTATCGGCAGTTAAGTATTTCTGCCACTTACACCATATCCAATATCTTCATGCAACACACTAGAACCCGCAGTATAACGGTCAGGCGGGACGTTTCGTGTACACTTTTAAGCAAGCTGACTCCAATGCTCGTGGGCAGGGGAAGACTGACGAGATATTCCTGGCATGTCTTTTTTCTTACAGGACCAACTAGTACTCGGCGTCCGCGATATTGTCTCTCCTGCCGAAGCCTTGATTGCCCGGAAGGTGCGAAGAAATTGTTACGCAATATTTTCTACAAACGTAGAGCGCTCGCTGTCAATTACACTTGTTTATCGCGGCAAGATTTCCATCGGAAGACCTATCTTTATTTGCAATTATGGAGCTGGGTTCCCAGACTTGATTGAGGCAACAATAGCAGCGTACATAGGTAGCATGCTGTTTGACGTTATCGTTGGTGATAATACCTGAGTTATGCACCGAAATCTGACCCAGCGGCAGCAGTGCGATAACTCAGCGGGATCCAAATCAGGTTCATCACTCCCTCCTGACATCCTTCTTGACACATTTGACATTCAAGCAGACCAGCCAGTCCCTGAAATAAATGCTGCACCTCCTTTAGATGTTCCACTTTCGGTATCAGTTCCTAACACCACACCTTTACACCACCATTGGCCCCCAATAGGCCGGAAAAGTCGTAGTCATAGAAAAACGCAGATGATACAGATGAATCCACGCCATAAGCGGTACAGACCAACAAGAGCGGGAGCTTTTAGGATGAGTCATCACACAGAAAGGCGTTTGCATGAGCTGCAAGAGAGACTGGACAACGGTTAGTGATCTCTCGTTTGACCTAATTGGCCCATGTCTATGACACTGTCCCATCAAGCGGGCAAAAAAATGTACGCAGCCTTTGTGTGAGAAGTACTAGCCTTGCGTGAATACAGCTCTCCACGTGGTTGAATGCGCTCTCTTTCTCTCATATGCTGGCTTTGGGGAAAATGGTTTGACAAGCATATTTTGTGTTAATTACAAGAACCAGGCGCGGATCATAACAACCTAGTGTCCGCTTAATTCTTCCTTTACCCACGTGTTCCTTTTTATATTTCTTTTTAAATTTTTTTTCCTCTTGTTGTATCTTGTGGCCTGAATGAGAATAATATTACTTCTACGTAATCTATTCAGATCGTACTAGGCCATCAGCTATTCAAGCTTGTTTATACTAACATGCAGTTAGTACCTGAACGCCTTCGGTCCCCACGCTGCAAATAAGGAAGCAGCATGCTG